AGATATCAAGTGACTGCAAAAGGCCACAAGATTCTAAAACTAGATTGTGGCAATGACTGCACAGCTCCATAAATACTAAAAATCATTCAACTATACACTTAAAACAGGTGAATGTTAGAGTATATATACTGTATCTCAACAAACTTTTCTTTGGCGGAGGGAGGGGGTTGTTTTTTGTCTTTTTAAGAGAAACAGGGTTTCACCAAGTTGTCCAGGCTGGTCTCAAACTCCTGAACTCAAGCAATCTGCCTGCCTTAGCCTCCCAAAATGCTGAAATTACAGGTATGTGCCACCATTCCCAACCTTTTTTTTTTTTTTTTTTTTTTAGTAAGAGTAAAATAAAGGTACTTCCAGGTAAACAAAAACTGAGACAATTAATCACCAAATCTGCATGAAAAGAAGTGCTAAAGGGAATTCTTTAAGCTAAAGGGAATGGTACCAGATGAAACTGAGACCTACAATAGGAATGAAGAGGCCAGGTGTGATGGCAGCACTTTGGGAGGCCAAGGTGGGTGAATTACCTGAGGTCGGGAGTGGGTAGATTACCTGAGGTCAGACCAGCCTGGACAACTTGGTGAAACCCCATCTTTACTAAAAATACAAAAAATTAGCCAGGCATGGTGGTGGGCATTTATATAATCTCAGCTACTCAGGAGGCTGAGGCAAGACAATCGCTGGGACCCAGGAGGTGGAGGTCACAGTGAACTGAGCTTGTGCCACTGCACTCCAGCCTAGGCAACAAAAGCAAAACTCCATCACCAAAAAAAAGAAAAAAGAAAAAAAAGACAACAATTTAAAGCAAAAATTAGAACACTGTATAGAATGTCCACAAAGATAAATTTCTTTCTAAACAGTATGTCAGTTATGTTTTCAAATAATACCCTTAAAATATGGTTTTAGGTAAAATATCTCTAAATTTAAAGTAATGAATCCAATTGTTAATCTACAAAAGTACAATAAATATATTACAGAAGGTCCAAACACTGAAAACACAGACTGGGAGACAATATTTGCAAAACAAATATCTGGCAAAGGACTTGTCCTTGAATATATAAAGAACTCCTAAACATTAATAATAAAAAGATAAAATATAGGCAATAAAAAGTATATGAAACTTGAACAATTTATGACCAATAAGCCCTTAAAATGATGTTCAACATCATTAGTCAACAGGGAAATGCAAATTAATGAAACATTATCTCATACCTACCATAATAGTGAAACTTAAAAAGATTGATGGCCAGGCGAGGTGGCTCACACCTGTAATCCCAGCACTTTGGGAGGCCAAGAGCGGGCGGATCACGAGGTCAAGACATTGAAACCACCCTGGCCAACATGGTGAAACCCCATCTCTGCTAAAAATATAAAAAGTTAGCTGTCGCCGGGCGCGGTGGCTCAAGCCTGTAATCCCAGCACTTTGGGAGGCTGAGGCGGGTGGATCACAAGGTCGAGAGATCGAGACCAACCTGGTCAACATGGTGAAACCCCGTCTCTACTAAAAATACAAAAAATTAGCTGGGCATGGTGGCGCATGCCTGTAATCCCAGCTACTCAGGAGGCTGAGGCAGGAGAATTGCCTGAACCCAGGAGGCGGAGGTTGCGGTGAGCCGAGATCGTGCCATTGCACTCCAGCCTGGGTAACAAGAGCGAAACTCCGTCTCAAAAAAAAAAAAAAAAAAAAAAAATTAGCTGTCACCACCAAAAATACAAAAAAAATTGGCTGGACGTGGTGGTGTGTGCCTGTAATCCCAGCTACTCAGGAGGCTGAGGCAAGAAAATTGCTTGAACCAGGGAGTCGGAGGTTGCAGTGAGCGGAGATCACACCACTGCACTCTAGCCTGGCAACAAAGAAAAAAAAATCTATTTTTGAAAAATATTTAATGGCAAAAGCAAATGGTAATGACTAATATTAAGTGAAAAAAAGCAGATTATAAAAGTGTATCTACACTCTCATTTCGTTTAGGAAAAAAGATTTAACAGTATTTGTGTATAAACACACACATATATTAAAAACTCTGGAAGGACAAAGAGGGTCAAACACCAGTACTTTCATAATATTATCATGTTTGTAGGTGGTAGGATCATGTGTTTGTTTTGCTTTTTGTTTGTTTGTACATTTTCAAAGTTTGCTGTACTAAGCATGAATTACTTTTTAAAATACAAAGTTTATTATAATTAACACAAAAATTTGCCTATTCTTCTTGCTTGCTGAGTGACATCTTGTACAGTATAACATGTCTGTAACTGCTTTTAGTAAACTTTAAATTATTATTGGTTTTTTTTTTTTTTTTTTTTTTTTTTTTTTTTTTTTTTTTGAGATAGGTTCTTGCTCTGTTGCCCAGGCTGGAGTGCAGTGGTGCTATAACAATTCAGTACAGCCTCAACCTTCCAGGCTTAAGCAATCCTCCCATCTTAGCCTCTCAAGTAGCTGGGACCACAGGCACATGCCACTATGCCCGGCTACTTTTTAAACTTGTTGTAGAGATGGAGATCTCTCTATGTTGCCTAGGCTCTTCTCAAACTCCTGGGTTCAAGTGATCTTTCCAGGATTATAGGTATGAACCACCATGCCTGGCAGAAAAATTTTGGAGGTCAAGGTATGTTATCCCACAAAACTGATCCTGGTACCAAAGGTGGAAAAAAAAAAACACCAACAAGATTATTGAACTGGATGAATGGATTACATGTCTGACCCACAAGTCCTATAATATATTAGATAGCAATTATTCCTATTATGAGAGGCAACTCTTTACAAAAAGAAATACGAGACCTTTTTAGAGGGCATTTTAAGTGATTCAAAGGTCAAAATTCTATTTTCAAAAATGCAATTTAGAAAACCAAGGAACGCTTACAAAAAGCAAAAGAAAATAAATACATTTTTAAACATACAAACATGGTCTAAGTAATCTCCATAAGCATCAGTGTCCCAAATAGCGTATTTAATTCAGAATTTGTCATTTATTTATTTAGTTAGTTAGTTAGTTAGTTTTGAGACAGAGTCTCACTCTGTCACCCAGGCTGGAGTGCAGTGGCATGTTCTCGGCTCACTGCAACCTCCACCTCCTGGGTTCAAGTGATTGTCCTGCCTCAGCCTCCGAAGTAGCTGGGATTATAGGTGCACACGACCACACCTGGCTAATTTTTTTGCATTTTCAGGAGAGACAGGGTTTCACCATGTTGGTCAGGCTGGTAACTCCGGACCTCAAATGATCTGCCTGCCTTAGCCTCCCAAAGTGTTGGCAAAACCCCGTCTCTATTTTTTTTTTTTTTTTTTTTTTAGACGGAGTTTCACTCTTGTTACCCACGCTGGAGCGCAATGGTGCGATCTCGGCTCACCGCAACCTCCGCCTCTGGGTTCAGGCAATTCTCCTGCCTCAGCCTCCTGAGTCGCTGGGATTACAGGCACGCGCCACCATGCCCAGCTAATTTTTTGTATTTTCAGGAGAGACAGGGTTTCACCATGTTGACCAGGATGGTCTCGATCTCTTGACCTCGTGATCCATCCACCTTGGCCTCCCAAAGTGCTGGGATTACAGGCTTGAGCCACCGCGCCCGGCCCCCATCTCTATTTAAACAACAAAAAATATTCAGACACGCAAGGTTTCCAAAAAATGTAACTCTTCTTGTCAAGAAGCTATGGTCGTTTGAGCTTCACCAGGGAGAGTGAAATAAAAAAAGAGAATACAGGATACAGGAAGATCCTGCACAGAAGAGCTAAAGAGAATCCAGCTGTGCCCCAGAAGCAGCAGATAATCAGGCCAGACTCAAGCAGTATAACTCAGGAGATAATGTCCTAGCTGCTATAGCAGTTTTTTGTGGGGCGGTGGGGGGTTGTGCCTTTACAAAAAACAATTTTTTAAGAAATCCATTGGAATATAGCAGCTTTTTAACCTGAGGACTGAATGCTCCAGAAACTTGGCCCAGAGCCTATCTGTAGATCAAGCCGATCAGTGGGGCTTGGCTTGATCTTGAGCATATGCTGATGCAGTTCCTGTTCTCCTGCAAGGAGTACAGCCTTTGTCAGCAGAGGACACTCACTTCCCTCACAGAGAGGTCCTGCCCTGTTAACTACAGGTAGGCCACAGTGCACTAAGAAGCAGAAAATGCAGCGAAGTCCACTCCTTCTGACCTTTTATTTGTAGTCTTTCCAATACTTGGTCCACTAGAACCTTCCAGATAACCTGACTGAGGTGATCCTCCTTTCCTAGGACTCATAACACAGCCCACAAACTTCCTCCAAAAGGCCCCCTGTAAACAGTTGAGAGAGCTGAAGCCATTCTGTTCAGCTCATCTTTTCCTGAAAACTTTCATCTAAGTGCCTGTCCTTTTCTTAATCATTTGACCTTATAATTACAAAATGAGGCTGAGCGCAGTGGCTCATGCCTATAATCCCAGCACTTTGGGAGGCTGAGGCAGGTAGATCACGACATCGGGAGTTCAAGACCAGCCTGGCCAACATAGTGAAACCCCATCTCTACCAAAAATACAAAAATTAGCAGGGCATGGTGGTGCATGCCTGTAGTCCCAGCTACTCGGGAGGCTGAGGAAGGAGAATCACTTGAATTTGGGAGGCAGAGGTTGCAGTGAGCCAAGATCACTCCACTGCATTCCAGCCTGGGTGACAGAGCAAGATTCCATCTAAAAAAAAAAAAAAAAAAAAAATACATTTAAATTAAAAATAATAAAATTTCAGTCCCAAATTGAGAAACATCTAGAATTGGCCAGGCATGGTGGCTAACACTTGTAATTCCAGCAATTTGGGAGGCTGAGGTGGGCGAATCACTTGAGGTCAGAAGTTCAATACTAGCTTGGCCAACATAGTGAAACCCCCTCTCTACTAAAAATATAAAAATTAGCCAGGAATGGAGGCTGAGGCTGTAAAATCCCTTTAACCCTGAAGGCAGAGGTTGCAGTAAGCCGAGATCGGGCCACTGTACTGCAGCCTGGTCGACAGAGTGAGACCGTGTCTGGAAATAAGAAGTAGAAGATAAATTATTTACCTTGGTCCTCAGAATTGAATTCAGAATTCATAAAAGACTAGCCGGTGTAAGGCTGCTGTAATCCTAGTTGACAGAGGAGGGATTGAGGTGGTGAGTGGGGAGGCTGTCTCTGGAAGAAGAAATATACATCCTCACCTCACTCTAATTAAACCTGCTTTTCTGGTGACATCAGCAGTCCGCACCTCACTCTAATTAAACCTGATTATCCAGCGTCATCAATATTCAAGATAACTTTTGGTTTTCATTTCAAGAACAAAGTCTGACACCACTATCCTCAGTTAAAAAAAAATAATAATAACAAAGTTTAAGGTTCGCTCTATCTACGTTTGAAATGTATGTAGGTTTCAAAGACAAAAGACAAAATGATGATGAAAAAGAAGTGTGACCGGCGTGAGAGTTCAGAGCCTCTGAAGTGTCAAGACATGTACAGTGCAGGCAGGGTGAAGAGTCTGAGAGGGTAGGTGGGACCATCCGAAAAGAGAAAGGTCTTCCAGCGCAACGATGCCGATCCCACTTCCCACCCCGTCCCGTTCCAGGCCTACGCCCCTGGCCCCTCCGCGCGCCCCCGACACCCCCACCCCCACCCCGCACGCGCAGCGGGGAGCAGCCGAGCCCAGGCCGTCTCACGGCTTTGGTTTTGAAAGGTCATGTATTTACTTACGAATTTCAGCACTTTCTAACTTACTGCGTTAAGCACCTTTAACCAACTTACTGGCTAAAAAACAAAACGGTCCTACCAGCGACCAACACTGCTACAGTGACAATGCTCTGCTCCTACTTATTTAAAAGGACGGAGCTCAAGGCGTGTAATTCTCAAAAGAATGTGGTTCCTCTTCCCTTTCCCCTCCCGCCTCTCGTAAGGATGAAATCAGAAAAGTGCAGAAAATATGGGCAGCTTCCTAGCAACGGTTAGGGGCAAACGGGAGGGGCGCAGAAGAGCTGGAGCCGTCCCCGACCCCTCGCTCCGGCCTCGGGAGGCCGTCGCGGCCGCAGCAGGGCGTCCCGAAAACCGTAACTTCCGTGCCCGCCGCCCGAGAAGGTGAAAGGCACGAGATGGAGCCTCTCCAGCCCTCCCCAGGAACACAACCTGACAGCGCAACAGCGCGGCGCGGCGGCCTCCCCGGGCTGCTTCCGGGTCGCGGCCGCGCCACGACCACTGGTCGGCCCGAGGGGACGCGGGTAGGGGCCGGAGTCTGCAGGCAGGCGCCGGCGCGGGGATAACCCGGCTGGGCGGCGCCACAGCCCCCGAAGGCCGGGCCGGATCGAGCCCGACGACTGCGCCTCCTTACGTGCAGGCGGCGGGCCCGAGCCCCCTTCCGTAGCCCGGCGCCGGAGACCCGCCGACAGGACTCACCCAGCCTTTCTCAAACGCCCACGCCGACTTCAGGCGCGCGCGCAGGAAGGAGACGGCTGCGCCACAGCCTGGCCAGCGTCCTCCCGCTGCACCTCAGCCTCGGGAGCCGGCAGCTGGAAGCCGGCGTTGGCTGGGGCGCCGGTGAGGCGGGGCCAGGAGCCGTGAGCACCGCAGCAACCAATCGGAGCGCAGCAAGTGTCCAGCCGGGGGCGGGGCGGGGCGCGAGGGGGCGGGGAGAGGGCGTTGGCTGGGCGCGGCGGGGCGCCGGGCGCTCCTCAGCGACCAATCGGCGTGCAGCAAGTGGCCGGCCGGAGGCAGGGCGGGCTCCGAGGGGCGGGGTGGGGACCGCTGCTGTGCGGGCCTCCCGGAGCCGGGCTCCAGACCCAGCTACCTACGGTTCCGAGCAGGGTAGGACGGGCCCCTCCTGTCCCCCGCGGGTGGGCGGCCGCCGCTGGGCTCCCCCTGCTGCGTTTTTGCCCGCCGACTTCAAGTGCCGTACCGTGGATCACGTAGGGAAGGAGCTGGAGACCCGGCGGACCGGGTGTCTCTCCCTTCGCCTGTGACCGATCGGCCTTGTCTGCGAGCTGCCCAGAGTGGGGAAGGTGCTCCGGGAGGGTTCTCGGAACGGAGGGTCTTTAGAGATGCCTTTTTCTAATCCCCTCAATTCAGAAATGGAGACCCAGAAAGTTGGAGTTAGTCAACCAGGGCTACCCATCGAGTGCTGGTTACCCGAGGTTATCGGCACAATTAAACTAGTCTTCTGATTTCCCTCGGCACTCTCCCGTCTATTCACCCAGATTTTTGTCTTTCTTATAGTCAGATCCCTTTCAGGCTCTTGGATTTTCAGCATAACTTTAACAGCCTTTGGAAGCCCCGTCTAGATTTCCTACAGAAATGCCTATAACCGTTTAGTTGTTTGAGGGGAAATCGAGGTTTGTTTTTTGGGTGGTTTGTTTGTTTGGAGAAAGGATCTTGTTCTGTTGTCCAGGCTGGAGTGCAGTGGCGTGATCTTGGCTCACTGCAGTCTCTACCTCCCAGGCTCAATAGATCCTCCCACCTCAGCCTTCCGAGTAGCTGAGATCACAGGGGCATACCACCGTGCTTGGCTAATTTTTGTATTTTTAGTAGAGACGAGATTTCACCAGGCTGATCTCTATCTCCTAACCTCAGGTGATCCATCCGCTTCCGCCTCCCAAAATGCTGGGATTACAGTCATGAGCCACCGTGCCCAGCCAAGTAGAGGTATTATCAATGGAAATCTAAAAAGCATTTTCCCTGAGGTATAATGAAGTTAAAGGTTTTGTATCATGGAATTATCACAAAAAAATGCCATCCGTCCTGGATAATGTTCTCCTATAACCCTTCTACATGTGCTAGGATCTAGGTGTGCTGAATAAGTTACTTTCAATAAATACGTGCTGAATAAGTTACTTTTGAAATATGTCACAATGCTGGCATTCCACCAGAAGAGAAGATACAGAGGGAACACTCCTCTCTTTAGGAACATTTTGAGGCCAGGTGAGGTGGCTCACACCTGTAATCCCAGCACTTTAGGAGGCTGAGGCAGGCAGATCACCTGAGGTCAGGAGTTCAAGACCAGTCTGAGGAACATGGAGAAACCCTGTCTCTACTAAAAATACAAAATTAGCCGGGCGTGGTGGTGGTAATCTTAGCTACTCGGGAGGCTGAGGCAGGAGAATCACTTGAACGTGGGAGGTGGAGGTTGTGATGAGCTGAGATCCTGCCATTGCACTCCAGCCTGGGCAACAAGAGTGAAACTCCAGCTTTAAAAAAATAAAAAAATAAAAAACCCTTTTGAAGGGGGTAGGGGTGGCATGTACCATTTTTGCTTTCATTCTGCTGGTAAAAGCTTAGTCATTTTTGATTTGCAATAGCTTTGAATAAGTAAACAAAAAAAAACTTAGTCATTTGACTACACAAAATTGCAAAGAAGGCTGGAAAATAGGGTTTCAGAACTAGGGAAGGAAGACTAGATATTAGGAGACAATTAAATTTCAAATCTCATCACTTTTTTTTGGTGGGGGGGGGACTGTCCCAAAGGGCAGCAGCTGGGAAAATCAGAGGTTAGACTTGGCCACACACTCCAGCTTGTCCTTCTTCTTGATGCCATAGGAGTCAGAGGAACTCTTGGTGGCACTGATAAGCTCTTCTGCCAGGCACTCAGCAGTGGTCTTCATGTTCCAGAAGGCAGCCTCAACGAGCGCCTATGCGCAGCAGCCGGATGGCCTGATTCACACGGTGCAGTGGGGACACGTGCACAGCCTGTTGTCTCACAGTCCCTGCTCCCCCGATTCGGTGGATCCCTCCCAGGGACCACCATTGATGATGGCGTTCACCCGGACCTGCAGAGAGTTCCCGCCTGTGAGCAGGTGGATGAAATCGAAGGCATGCTTGATGATGCTTCTTGCCGTTGCTGTGGCCATGCATCATCATGGAGTTAGTGAGGCGCTACATATGGGGCACTGAGCTTTGCAGAAGCGTTTGGCGGCATATCGCACAGCACTGTGAGCCAGGTACTTGGCATACTTCTTCTTCACTGCAGTGTAATGTTGCAGGGAAATGTTATTCATCCACACATCACTGGTGTTCCACTTTCCAAAGGGCTTGATGTCATGGGTCTCTGCCGCCACTGGTGCTGCTGTCTCCCAATCGGTGATCCTGAGGGTACAGCCCGAGTGTCTCTGTAACTCAGCATGGACCACGTGCTGCCCTGGCACAGACAGGCCATCTCATACTAATATTTTAAGGTTTCCCAGGGTTTTTTTAAAGCTTTGTTACAGAATAATATCTATATGAAAATGATTACCTCCAGGCTGGGCGCGGTGGCTCACGCCTATAATCCCAGCACTTTGGGAGGCTGAGGCGGGTGGATCACGAGGTCAAGAGATCAAGACCTTCCTGGTCCACATAGTGAAACCCCGTCTCTACTAAAAATACAAAAATTAGCTGGACATGGTGGCGAGTGCCTGTAGTCCCAGCTACTCGGTAGGCTGAGGCTGGAGAATTGCTTGAACCCAGGAGGTGGAGGTTGCAGTGAGCCAAGATCGCACCATTGCACTCCACCTGGGTAACAAGAGCGAAACTCCGTGTCAAAAAAAAGAAAAGAAAAGAAAATGATTACCTCCATATATGAAGGAGGACTTTACTGTTCACCTACCTTTGGGATATACATGCTTTAAGTTTCTTTTTTATTAGTGGAGACTTATGCTAATGCAACTTGTCTGAAGTCATTTTCTACTGCTATAACAGAATAACACAGAAAAGGTAATTTGTAAACAATAGTGTTTTATTTGGTTCACCTTTCTGTAGGCTGAGAACTCTTAAGGGCATGGTGCTAGCATCTTGTGAGGACTTTCATGCTGTGTTCTTGCATGGTAGAAAACAAGACAGACGGACGAACAAGCATACAAGACAGAAAAGAAAATCAGGCTGAAGCTATCCCTTTACCAAGAGCCCAATCCCAAAATAACAAACCCACTAACAGCATTAATTCATTCACAAGGATGGAGCCCTCATGACCCAATCACCTCTTAAATGTTCTACCTCTCAACACTATTACAATAGTAATTAAGTTTCAAACACAACCCTGGCGAGATGGCTCACACCTGTAATCCCAGCACTTTCAGAGGCTGAGGCAGGTGGATCACTTGAGGTCAGGAGTTCGAGACCAGCCTGGCCAACATGGTAAAACCCCATCTCTTAAAAAAAAAAGTTTCAAACACACTAACATTCTGGGGACAAATTCAAACCACAGCACAATTTGCTTCTCTCAGTCTATAAACCTCTATTCCCCAAAGAGTCAAACATGTATTTAGTTGTGCTTTCAAAATATGGACATTTGGCAGAGCACAGTGGCTCACACCTGGAATCTCAGCATTTTG